CTCCCTGCGTTCGTGTGGGTTTCCTCCGGGTGCTCCGGTTTCCCCCACAGTCCAAAGACATGTGGTACAGGTGAATTGGGTAGGCTAAAGTGTATGAGTGTGTGTGAATGTGTGTGTGGATGTTTCCCTGAGATAGGTTGCGGCTGGAAGGGCATCAGCTGCTTAAAAGTGTGCTGGTTAAGTTGGCGGTTCATTCCACTGTGGCGACACCGCATTAATAAAGGGACTAAGCTGACAAGAAAATGAATGAATGAATAAGAATAAATACTGGAGGTAAATGGAATTGATTTAGTTTGTACCAAGCTTAAAAAAAAGATTTTTTTCTAGACACTATCAACAACACTTTTATTAAATTTAAAATGTACTTTTTTTAAGATTCATTCATTTTCTGCTGCTTGTCTGGGATTCGGGTCAGGGACAGCAGTCTTAGTTGAGAACCCCAGACATCCCTCTCCCCAGACACTTCCTTCAGCTCCTCCGGGGGATCTCGAGGCGTTCCCAGGCCAGCCGAGAGACATAGTTCCCCCAGTGTGTCCTGGGTCTTCCCCGAGGCCTCCTCCCAGTGGGACATGCCTGGAACACCTCCATAGGTAGGTGTCTAGGAGGCATCTGAAACAGATGCCCGAGCCACCTCAGCTGACTTCTCTCGATGTGGAGGAGCAGCGGCTCTACTCTGAGCTCCTCACCCTATTCATAAGAGTGCGCCCTGCCACCCTTCGAAAGAAACTCATTTCGGCCGCTTGTATCCGAGATCTTGTATTTTCGGTCCTGACCCAAAGCTCATGACCATAGTTGAGAGTAGGAACGTAGATTGACCGGTAAATCGAGAGCTTTGCCTTTCGGCTCAGCTCCTTCTTTACCACTTCGGACTGGTACATCAACCATATTACTGCTGCCGCAGCACCAATCCGCCTGTAAATCTCACGTTCTGTCCTTCCCTCACTTGTTAACAAAACCCCGAGATACTTGAACTCCTCCACCTATGGTAATGACTTTCCTCCAACCTGGAGATGGCAAACCACATTTTTCCTGTGGAGCACCATGGCCTCGGACTTGACCACAGGATTTCATCTCTGTTATCCGCAGACCATGTTGTTCTGTTGGCTTCATCGAACATGGACCTTCAGCATGCACTGGGACTGAGTGTGACTGAGTGTCACTGGGATGAGAATCAGCACCTCCAAGTCCGAGGCCATGGTGCTCCACCGGAAAAAGCTGGTTTGCCATCTCCAAGTCGGAGGAAAGTCTGTATTTCTGTTTTTTTTTTTTTTTTTTTAAGACTGACACACTTAAACTTAAAATAATTTGTTTAATTTTATTTACACTGAGCCCCAACACCTGGAACAGAATTCAACATTTTTTTAATTTAATTTAATTTAAATAATGACACATTGACTTATTTTGTTGACAGTGTTGTACACTGCATTAAATATACATATTATTTCATGCATCAAATATTACATAGGTAACATAGCTACATAGGCTCAGTGCTTATAGCACTGCTGGCTCACAGCAAGAAGGTCGCTGGTTCAAGGCTCAACTGGGTCAGTTGGCATTTCAGTGTGGAGTTTGCATGTTCTCCCAATGTTCGCATGGGTTTTCTCCAGGTGCTCTGGTTTCCACGCGGTCCTACGAAATGTGCTATAGGTGAATTGGATGAACTAAATTGGCTTTAGTGAATGTATGTGTGTGTGAAAGTGAGAGTGTATGGGTGTCTCCCCGAATCCCAATACTGGGTTGCGGCTGGTAGAGCATCCACTGTGCAAAGCATATGATGGAAGAGTTGGCGGTTCATTCCGCTGTGGTGACCCATGATAAATAAGGGACTAAGCTGATATTAAATAAATTACTGAATGAATATTACATATTTTAAAATGCTCCACAATGGCAATATACAGAATTTTTCATCAGCACACACATTAGCTTACTATATTCAAATATTATATTTGAATTTAGCTTGCGGTCACTGCAGATGATCAAAGAATTTGAAAGCTAAATCTTGTGGACACTGCTATTTTTCAGCCTATTATGCTCTTGGAGCTAACGTAATATACTATTATTTCTGTTTCTTACTCTCTCTGTAAAAAACGCTGGCTTCCACAAATCTTTCATGTTGTTCCAACACAAATAAATTAACTTTTCAGATTTAACAAATTTAAGTTGACTAAACATAAAAAAATTAAGTTGTCCCAGTGAGATCTCAATGAATATGTTGTTTCAGCTCATTTTAAGTAAGTAGATTGAACAAGCAACAACAACAACAAACATTTTGAGTGCTGTTATCAGAAAACTAAAATAGCATCCTGGCTCAGCTAATACATAATTAAAACACTCTCAAAAAAATCTCCTGTGCTTTATCTCTTATTGTGTGCTTGATTAAATTTGAAAACACTGCAACCTACATCTGGCACCTGTTGAATTGTTCTTTAAAAATCCAACCTTATATTATTAATATGGTACAAGGCCTAAGGCATGCTGTTAAACAGAATAGTAAGGGAGATATTCAACACCAAAGCAGTATTTGTGTTGTGTTTCCATCTGCTTCCATTCAAAAACAGACACTGGAACAAGCACACACACACACAAATGCACACATACACACCCCCTTATGACTCATTGTTTCTAGGCATCCAACAATACCCGGTTCTCATGACTTTTCCTCTGTTGGCATTAAGAAGGGTCCCAGAGCTGCTAAGCAAGAGGCCCAGTTTAGAGACAATTGTGATATTTCAAAATGTATGAGGTGTAAAAATGAAAACTGCTCAGGAAGTTTAACAAGAGCATCAGCATTCAGTCTAAAAATGGGTCCGGCTTTTAAAAAACTTCATGACTAACTGGATAACACCAAAAAAGGTTGGACTGGTTATGTAAACTCTGTTGAACTGATACTGGAGTATAAGAGAATAATGAGTTTTGTTAGTCCAGAGCTTTATGGCTAAAGAAGCAGTCAATAAATAAGGCACGCTCCATTTGTACTGCACTTTGTATGATAATGTAACACTTTAAAAACCTTTATGTGTTTCCTTTTCTCTCTGTTGAGCACAAAAAGAAGAAATTTTGAAGAATGTTGGAAACCTGTAGCCATTAACATCCATTCTGAGAAAAAAATACTATGAAATTAAAGTTAACGGTTTCCATCATTCTTCAAAATATCTTCCTTTGCATTCAACGGGAAGAAATTAAATTAAAGAAATTAAAAAGAAAAGGGATTAAATGATGGTGTTTCTATTTTTGGGTTGAATTGTCCATGTAATAACATTAGATAATACATTAGTTAATATGAACTATCAACTAGCTCATGTTAGTTTACTGTGCATTTACACACATACAGAATTTTTTGCTTTGTAAAGCTTTGTAAAGATGTTGTAGATATTTTGTTTGTTGTTGGTTCATATTGACTAATGTTGTTAATTCAGGTTAAACAATTAAACCTTAATGTAATGCATTAAAGCATGCTTTGTGTACATGAAAAGAGAAGATCATTATTGTAATACAATATATCACAAGTTAAAAAGCAGATTGGTTTTTCCCAAGTAACTATAAAGCATTACATTATATGTCAATACTTTTGAATACTTAAAAAAAAAAGTATGCCATCACTTCATTCTCTCGTTTATTTATCCCATTTATTCTCCTGTCCTCGTATTGAGAGAAATCAGGAGTAAGTCATTATCAGACCCTGAATATTCATCAATAAAGATTTTTCTTTTATTCATTCATTTTCTTTTCGGCTTAGTCCCTTTATTAATCCGGGGTCGCCACAGCGGAATGCACCACCAACTTATCCAGCACGTTTTTACGCAGCGAATGCGCTTCCAGCCGCAACACATCTTTGTAAAACATCCAGACACACTTATTCACACACATACACTACGGCCAATTTAGTCTTCCTAATTCACCTGTACCACATGTCTTTGGACTGTGGGGGAAACCGGAGCACCCAGAGGAAACACAGGGAGAACATGCAAACTCAATATAGAAACGCCAACTGACCCAGCTAGGGCTTGAACCAGCAACCTTCCTGCTGTGAGGCAATTGTGCTTTCCACTTTGCCACAGTGCTGCCCTACTTTTTTATTTAAAAAGTTGTTTTTTTATTTAAAGAGGTAACGCTAGATTGTAAAAATAAATAAATAAGGTAAGTGTAAGATACTTGAATGACAGGAGGGTGAGGTGTTCGGAAAGTATTTACTGAGTAGATACAGCACAGATCAGAACATACAACTTTGGCCAGCACCTAAAGTCATCTACTAAAACTTCCCCTTTTCTGAGAGGGTCTCACTTAACATGGCCCTCCCTGTCTTTGCTTTCTTAAAGGGGCTTCACTTATTTCAACCTAATATAGAGGCAATACACTACAGTAAGCTTCTCCAACAGAGGTGATTTTTCACTTTTCTAGCCAAACATTAAATAAACTCTTAAATTAAACAAATAAATTATTAATAATTATTATTATAATAATAATTAAAATACATTTGCACATACATTTATCAAATTATAAATCGATTTAAAAACAATATTCAAATTTATACTATTCAATAAACTAAATTTACTGTAACATCTACATATATTCATTTATAAGGTATAATCTCTCTCTCTCTCTCTCTTTCTCACTCTTTAAATTAGCATTCAAACTGTAAATCAGTTCATAAATGGATTAACCATTTGAATACAATTGAAATATATATATTTATGCTTGACAATATCAGTCATAGCCTACTGAAATAGTCTCAAACATTGGATTTGTAGGAGACACATTAAATTATTGTATTGGTGAACTGGCCCTATGTAGGTTACACACTGGTCATCGTGGCAATCAAGATAGCCCACTGTTATTGTATCAAAATAATAATACTGCAGCTTGTTTTTTCTGAATGAAACAACCTACCACCTGGTAAAAGTTAAATGTCTCCTACGAGACGCTGTTTCGATAGGCTGCAGGTCCGTCTGTCAGAGAGGGGCGGACACCAGCCCGGACTTTTAAATGGTGTTAGGTGTTTTTGAGCTCGGCTAACTCTGACGGACAGCGATACAGCTCGTGTTCGTGGGAGGGAAGGTGCTGTTTCGCTCACTGTGGGCGTTGTATTTGAGGTGTGTAGCCTACCTGTCTTGGAAGACGCTTCGGGTACTTAGTTGAACGACAGGGATCTTTACTTTGCCATCTTACTCAGACGGGTGTTGGAGAGACTCTGCAGCTGTCATCATGTTCAAGAAAAGGCAAACCAAGAGTAGCGCGACCATCAGTGAGAAAAGGTAAATGGCAGACGGACACTTTTACACTGTTTATGTTTCATCGCGTCATTGCGGAGCGCGCGAGTGCTGTGACAGGACTACTGTACGCTTCATTACTGTCGTCGGTTTGCTGTACATTAGCCACGTCGCAGAAGATAAGTTATGTGTTTTAAAATCTGACTTCATGGTAAATGTGTTTTTTGGTTGCTTGAATGAAAGTTGCTGTAGTAAGGTGTGGCGCTGCAACAGGTTGGATAACTTTCTCTGAGATACACTTCATGTTCATCTCGCCTGGGTTGGTCCCTTTTAAAGCCTAAAACTTTTTAAAAGTTTGTTGTGAAAAGGCTACACTGTTATACAAAAAAAGTTAAGGTAACTCAAATCATTTAAGTTTAAAGCTAATCCTAATGAGTAGGCCCACTGTGAACTTAATACATTTGAGTAAATGAAGTAATTTGAGCATAGTAAAACCCAATAAATAAAGAGAACTCAAACCAAAGGAGTACTGTAAAACCCAATAAGTTGAAGCAACTCAAACCGTTTGAGAAAACTGATTGCCACAAACCACTTGAGTTTAAAAAACGAATCTATATGAGTACTGTGAACTTACTCCATTTAAGTTAAAGTAATGAGGTATTTAATTAACTCATTACCTTCAACTCTGAGTTCAAAACTATTTTAAAATGAGTAGAATTAACTTTCAGTAGCCTAAATTTTGAGTTAACTACACTCATTTCATTTGATAAAGTTGACTGTTGGGTTTTACAGTGTATTGGATTTATTTGTCTGGTTTTAGCTTTAACTTTACAAAAAATAAATATATGTAAAATTATTAAGTAAAAATGGAGTAGGCTATATTTTAGGGTAGCCTACTTTTAATAGTATGGTAAGTGTGCACTATTACATATTTAGCTTGAGTGTACTAACAATAGCTTGGCACACTTTTTAATTAATAAAAGTATACTTTTAAGTGTACATTCAAGTGTAACAATTTTGATTAGCGTTGAATACAAACTTAGTTTATAACTAGTTTCATTCATAGTTACTGCAGATAGGCCTACAAGTGAACACATGTATACTAGTTAAATACTGTTAGCACATTTTTAGTTGAAAGTACACTTTGTCTCAAACTACTAGTTTTGTAGCACACTTGATTGTTTTCTTTAAGTGATCTTAACCTAATATTTATAGCTTAGTATCTATGAATTATTTTTTTGCACTTTATATGTCCTACTATGTTCCTATTTAGGTATCAAGATTTATACTTAACATATACCTTTAACAGTACTTTAGTACATTATGTTTTGAACAAATTAGAGCAATAAACAATAGTAATTTACATTTTATACAATAAAATTTTATTTCATTAATCATTATTGCATTTATTATAATGTATTATTATTAAAATACATTTATTTATAAAAAATAATTATCAATTAAATTTTATTGTTATTTAATGTTACTTATAATATTTATTATAATATATTAATATTATAATATGTTTATAAAATATTTTAATATTGCTGTATTATTGTAGTTTTTTTATGATTTTTGTTTATTATTATTTGTTTTAATATATTTATAGTTCTCAAGTTACACCTCAGAACAGGCTGCAGTCACTGTTTAAAGAGAGCTGATTGGTTAAGGGTACTAGTGCGATCTTATAGTGACAAGTTCAAGTTCAAACAGGCATATATTGCAGATGGCTTGAGAGATGAGTCTAGCCTTGAGCTTCGCTTCAGCAGAACTCAGTACTGGACACCAATATAGTGAAAGCGGTGCAGATTATGGGGGACTTTGCTCTAAGAATATGGTTTCAGTTTGAGTCAAAATAATTTTATTGGTTACAGATGTAGCAAAAAATGAGGTTTTCCTAAACACATAGTTTTCTGTCTAAGTCATCTTTGGGTGTTGTTCAACTGTGCTACGCATGATAGGTCACTCAGTGTCAAATGTGCCAGGTTTTGTGACTTGTCTGTCCGCTTTTGACAGAAACAAGGCATGGCTTGCTTAGATATGACCAGTATTTGCAGTGAGCTATAAAAGGACAAAACCTTAGGCCATTTCATAACACTGATCTTGAGATGTCCTGATTTCTTAGTTTATGTTTTTGTATGTGTATGTTTCGGATATGGGAACACCTCTAGGGAAGGGAACTGAGCATCAAATAATTACTTGCCCCACCCAGAACTCATTTCAGATCAGATTAAATATATTCCTCTAGACAGAATTACAAATGTTGCTGCTTGTCCCATTACATAAATCTGGCATTTTTGTAACTTTAATTTTTTTATTATATTTCATGTTTATTTTAATAATAAAAACAATTTAAAAATATTAAGGAGATAGTACATACAAAAATCTAACTTGTAATTAATCACTCATGCTCATGTAACTTGGTGTAATTTAATCATTACAATTACTTTAAAACTTTAAACTAATATTCTACCTTGGGTGTAATTAAGAACATATATCATGTCAAGTCAGCATAAATATACTTTAAAACATTAAATTAAGAATTATTTTCAAATCTATATAAAATTGAGAATGGTGAATGTGAGTAATTGTAAGTGAATGTGAGTAATAAACTATTTATTAGTCTTTTAAAATTGGAGTCAAGTTTCAATGACTAAACATTTTTAATTAAATAATATTTTGAAAAGAGAAATTTAGTGAACATAAAAAATTTGGAACTAGTTACTAAATAATTACATGGAGCTGACTTTTCACAGTGTATAGTACTCGAATAAAAAGTTGTTATTATAAGAATTTTTTATTATTTTTTGTCTTTTTTGCTGCTTAAATAGTAACAATTGTAACAGCATTGTTTATATAGCTTAATTCGTGTTTCACATACAGATGCAATTGATAATAAGACAATGTCTCTTTATCTTTTTTTGCATGTTTGCTCAGAATAATTAAGTACACCCCGTTTTGAATATGAATATTGAATATAGGCAATGTATTTTGGTGCATTTAAACAAAACAGATTTATTAAACAGATATATTTATTAAAATAATATTTTAGTCATCAAACATATTTAGAAATTGAAAGAGAATACAATTAAATTCAAGCTAAATATTGCAAAAAAAATTACAACCTTCAATATTTAAAAAAAAAATTCTCTTCATTTTTCCTCTTTTGTAAATTTTTATTTAATATTTTTCTATAACAAATTTGGGAGTACTAGTTTTTGAACCCCTATTGTGAGTTATTTTGTTAGATAAACTCCAGATTTGGCTTCAGAACTGACAAATCTCATGTATGTGCACAGATATAATATTGTATAGCTTCCTATTAAAAATATGACTTTAAAAGATTGATTTGTGAGGGTTGTACTTCTGTATGCTGAGCACTGTATAGTGGCACATTAGTGAAACCTGTTAGACCGGTTTGAGTTTCTAACACCCTCATTAAAACCACCAACTTGTTGTAATTATCAGCCTCATTTACATATCTTACTCAGAACTCCCTTAGCTTTCTTTTAGATCAAGTGAAAACAAAACGGTTTTGTTTTCTGATATTATAATTTAATCCTATTATAATTTAATCAGTTGTCAGATATTAATAACTGGCAATAACTCGCTCAAATGTCATTATTAAAGATTCTCACTATCGGATGATAAAATAACACATTTTGTCCTAAAGGCAAATACAGCCCAAGGAGTGTAATTTGATTCAGTTAAACACAAGTTTAGTCATGTCTTCCATCCACTGTCAAAACAGTATTTCTCTAGAATTTGCAGAATGCAGTAAAAACTGTGCTGGGCTGCAGCTTTTGTGTCAAGTAGAGAGAATATTTAGTTTAGTTTTTTTGTTAGCACACTGGTTCCCTCAGCAGATGATGCGGATTGAAAGTGTTTCAAGTCCTGTATTTATTTTCAGAGCATCTCGGCATGACAGATAAAGTGAAGTGAGGTTTTCTGTCCCAGATCCCAGAGATTCAACATAACAAACCTACTACACCGGCAGCAGTATTTTGGGAAAATGCAGACTGATGTGTATTTATTTGGCTTACTGAAAGTATATCAGACTGCTCTTCTCAAAACAAACTCGCTGTTGTTTCACCTCAGACCACCCGAAACTGATTTGGCGAGCCTGATCGACAAGTTGCAGAGGAATGCAGACAAGGTTGAGAAGAACATCATTGAGACGGAGCAGAATCTCAACAAGGTGAGAGCAGCACGACAGCTTCAGCGGATTATAAATCATAGTGTCGGCTCTCTTGCTGAGTTCACAAAATTAAGCATGTTAATTTCCCTTCAAACATGTTGGGTTATTTTCGGTAAAATAATGGAAAATAAGTGCCAGTTATTTAAATGTCTTTATTTGAATTCATTCAGGATGTTTAGCACTTTATTTCAGTCACACATTAGTTTAAGTACCAATTCCCACTATTAACGATTAGCTTAATTCCTGCTTATATATATATATATATATATATATATATATATATATATATATATTTCTAATGACAGATTTATTTTGTCTTTGCCATGATGACAGTAAATAATATTTTAGTTGATATTTTTAAAGACACTTCTATACAGCTTAAATTGACATTTAAAGGCTTAACTAGGTTAATAAGGTGAACTAGGCAGGTTAGGGTAATTAGGCAAGTTATTGTATGATGATGGTTTGTTCTGTAGATGATCGAAATAAAATTAGCTTTAAGGAGCTAATAATTTTGTCCCAAAAATGGTTTTTAAAAAATTAATAACTACTTTTATTCTAGCCGAAATAAAACAAATAAAACTTTCTCCAGAAGAAAAAATATTAGCCAGAATAGTATTCAAATTCATTTTAATATGGGCCGCTATTGGTGTTTCACACCTTTTTATTGGTGTTTTTTTTTTTTTTCAAGAATAAGGTCCAAGATTTAGAATGAAAGTCACTTGTAAAATGTTTTCTCTATTTAAAAACAATACAGAAGCAAAAGATGAAATTTCCTACGGCAAATTGCAACATTAAAATATTTGTTAACATTGGCCATTACGCATTAGCTGATGTAACGCCAAAGCCACAGCCAACAGAGGATTCCGCTTGGTCTTAAAGCCTTTTTAAGGGGTTATTTTCACTATTTATGATGGCATAGCAGTCAAACTTGGACAAATGAGCTAATGTATAGGAAAAGATCTGGACCGTGGTCAATGAAGGGTGCGTCTTCTGAATCGACCCAAATTACTGTAGCATAGACCCAAAATACAGATTTCTCATATAGAAATCAGTCAAGTTTGGTGAAGGAAAAATCATGGTTTGGGGTTACATTCAGTATAGGAGTGTATGAGAGATCTCCAGACTGGATGGCAACATCAACAGCTTGAGGTATCAAGACATGCTGCCCGTTACATTACAAACCACAAAAAATGGCAAATTCTTCAGCAGGATAGCGCTCCTTCTCATACTTCATATCAAAGCTCCCGAAAGCAAAGAAGTTCAACATGCTCCAAGATTGGCCAGCCTAGTCACCAAACAAGAACATTATTGAGCATGTCTGGGGTAAGATGAAGGAGAGGCATTAAAGATGAATCCAAAGAATCTTGATGAACTCTGGGAGTCCTGCAGGAACGCTTTCTTTGCCATTCCAGATGACTTTATAATTAGGGATTTGAGTCATTGCAGAGATGTATGGTAGCAGTTCTCCAAGCTAATGGGAGTCCTACACAATATTAATTGTTTTTCCACTGCAGCATGACTTTATATTTTATACTGGACATTATTTCTGTTAAGTGACAAGACTTTTGTCTAAGCAAAGTCAGACCTTACGGTCCTAATTAAATAATTAAAAATCAAGGCATGATAATACTTTATTTTGCTATCATATTTATTTTAATAAATTCACCAAATGATTAACTAGACGTCAAGTTATTATTTGTTGTTTCTAAAACTTGGATAGGCGACAAGACTTTTGTCAGGTAGTGTACAGCTACACTGAGTAATAATATTGTTACATATCAAGTCTGGAAGGCCATTAAGTTGAACAATCCCTTTTGTTGCATAAATATCTCTAATCACATTCCTCACTGATGTTCTCAGGACATCAGGAAGATCAATGAGGGCAAGCCGCCTCTGTACCAGGAGGACACCAGCAAAAGGATCGCAAACTCCCTGGATCTGCTGAAAAGTCTGGATGATGACGCAGCCCTAGCCGTCCAGCTGAAGCACCCTCAAGGGGAGATGATTGAGAAAGAGTGAGTCTCTACAGCCATACCATCAAACCCAAATCTCCATTAATATCTTGCTAAACAATCTGACTAATATGCTGTGAACGACTCTTTTTATTTCTCCTCGATGTAAAAGCATGAGACAGCTCCGAGTGCGTGTGATGAAGCTCCAGGATGATCACAATCGCATTTACAACACCACTCGCTCCGAGCAGGTTCCCACCGTCAACTGGGGGAAGATGATCGATGAGAAACTGGTGTGTATATACAGTAAACACGCTGTACTTCTCTTTCCCTCGTTCTTTCTTTTATTTAAAATACATGGTTTCAAATGATGATATTGTGTTTTGATGCAGGCAAATTTGAACAACAAAGGATTTGGACAAGATCTGCCCACCGTTGAGAATGAAGTGGAGGAGCATAATATTTTTCATAGTGAAGTGGAGGCACTGGCTCCGTACGTCTCTGGAGACCGGGTACATATTTACTTAATACTTCTGAAGAAAAAAGAAACATATTTGATGCACAACTGACATCTGTGTCTCTTCTGCATGCTTTGTTTAACAGGACAGTTTGGATGGCCAGCAGGCGAGGTACAACAGACTACTGGTAAGATGTAATTTTTTGCATTTAAAGTCCCTCTGAAATCCAAACTAGGATAGTATCAATATGATAGTCTTGATGTTATCTAAAAACATGTGTATTCTAATTTCATATTTGGAAAACATAAGCATTCCGATCTGGCAGTTTCTCACCAATATGCATCAACAGTGTTTTATGACATCACACTACACTTCAGTTTCTCATCAGATCGTCTGACCAATCAAATGATCTCTAGTCTCTGACATTGCAAAATGCTTTTCTTGCTTAGATTTTTTTGTCTTGTTTCTAGTCCAAATATCAAAAAAATTGATAAATTAAGAAGCATTATCTAGGCAAGCAAAATGTATTGTCTTGTTTTAAGAAATAATATGCCAATATTAAGTGAGTTTTTACTTAAAACAATCAACCCCACTCAATGTTTGTGCTGCAAAACTCCCCTTACTGTAAAACACATTTTACTGGACTGTCTTGCTTTTAAAGATTCTAGAAGACTTTTTTTATGAAAAGAACTCTCTTAAAGACAATTTTAGCACAGTGACACCAGAATTCTTTTTAGGATTCTTATCATGTAGTAGTAGTAGTAGTAAAAACTTTATTGTCCTTGACAGGAGAATTGTTATGGGCATCGCCATATTGCTGCAGACACTCACTAAAACAAGCAATAAAAAAAACAATAGAAAATACAACCATTTCAAAATGTATAGTGCTAATTAAGATATACTCTTATTAAATAAACCCACTGACACAGGTACACAGGATTTCTGATAGCGGTTTAACCTACACTTTGGTACTTTATATCTTCTACCAGAGGGAAGCATTTCATACTGTGGAAACAAAAAATGAGTTGGATCGTTTACAATCCTTTCCACCTGATTGAGGACACAGTTCTCATATAAAACTTGAGGATTAAAATATTCATCGTGCCCGACAATTTTCCATGCTGTCTTTAAGAGATGCATCAGTTTAGATTTACACTGAACAGATAGGTTGCCAAACCACGCTGTGATGCCATACCTGACAATGCTTTCCAGAACTGCTTTATAAAACAACATCATGAGCTTTTTTTATTATTATTAATTATTTTTAAATATTAAATATTATTTTTTATTAATTAATAATTTATTTTATTATTACTTTAATATTATTTTTTAGTAATATTCTATTAATACTAAAAATCCTATTTAACTTGTGTATTCATTTGTTTGTTGTTCTTAATTGTTTATTTATTATTGAATTGTTCTTGCCATGAAAATAGCCAGGGTTGCTGACATGGTAATAAATAAAAAATATATTACATTAATTAAAACAAGCAAAATAATCTGCCAATAGGGTAAGAAAAAAAATCTTATGTCAAGAGGAAAATCGAGATTATTTTGCTTGTTTTAAGTAAAAACTCACTTAATATTGCCATAATATTTCTTAAAACAAGGCGATGTGGAATACATGCGATACACTAAGTCTAAACTAAACTAAGTTTTACACGCAATTACAATTTTCTAAATGGAAAATGTCACATAGTTGATTAAATAGAAATGAAATGCCATTGGCTATTTTAAAGCAGAGGGGCTATCCAGTAAGTTTCAGTTGAAAGTACATCATAAAACAAAGTTGCGCTCTTGAAAGCACTTTTGGGGACTTTTATTTTGCAGCTTAGTTATGCGTGGATATTATAATGTTTTATTCTTAAAACATGTCTGTTTGGCTTTGTCCATTTCAGGCAACCTCCACGGCACGGCAGAAGAACCTGCTCAGTATGAGGGACTACATGCAGCGCTGCACCAACGAGCTCTACTGGATGGACCAGCAAGCCGAAGAGCGAATCGCATATGACTGGAGCGACAACAACCTGGATTACCCAGCCCGAAAGAGGCAGTACGAGGTAAGGCTTAGAGTTAACAGCTATTTAATGATAGGTAATGCATAAAAAAAGCATAATTCTAAGAGTGGAGATTAAGCGCTTTCATATTCAAACCTCCTACAAATTCTGTGATCACAGAGCTGAAACACGCATACTATGAAAGGTAATTTAAATGTGTACTTCATCAGAACTTCATCAGCAAGTGTCTGGAGTCTAAGGAGAAAACTGTCACCCAGCTGAATGAAGATGGAGAGGAACTTATTGAGCAAAACCATCCGGGAAAAAACGTCATTGCGGTAACATTAATTAATTTGGACCTTAAAATGTTTTTTTTTTATTTAAAACTGCTTTTTTTCTAGCTGAAATAAAAAAAATAAGAAAAAAATATTATCAGACATGCTGTAAAAATTAATTGCTCTGGTAAACATAATTTGGGAAATATTAAAAAACCAAAAAAAAAAAATCAAAGGGGGGCTAATAATTCTGACTTCAACTGTAAATGATTATATGATGCACACATTTATTAGCACTGTGTGCATCATTGCTGTATATATATTTTGCTTCTTCTAAATTAAGTTGTGTTTTTAGGCACACATGGATGCCGTTCATTCAGACTGGAAGGAATACCTCAACCTGCTTATCTGTGAAGAAAACCACCTCAAGAACATGGATGACTATCACAAAGTCAGTTTGCATTAGGCCCAGTTGTTTACTGCTCTGTTGTTTCACTTTTGCTTTTCAGTCTTGCTCATTGCACTATTTTTATTTGTCCAGTTCCAAAAGGAGGCAAGAGACACCAGTGACTTGATGAAGCGCCTGGAAACAGAGATCAACCAGAAGTATAATCCTGAGTTCAAAGACATGTATCAGATGGAGGGTCTGATTGCTGACCTAGATGTAAATATATTGCATCTATTGGATTTTTCACTATTTTTTTTAATTCATATTATGTGTATGGATAACAGGCAAGCCATTTTGCTTTGGTGTCTGCATTAAATTATATATACAAAAGTGATACACATTGAATGCATGCACGAAGCATCTACTTCAATGTTTCAATTATCTTTTGGTGAAATAAAATATGAAAATATGAGTGAAATGATGATCCATCTTCATGTTTATGTACAAATATGTTTAAATATATCAATGAAGAAGCAACGCTTCTAAATTTGATTCGATTTTAAATGATTGCTGGCACACGAGTGAAACCTATTGGATCCAAAGTATGAAAAATAACAATAAATAGTTTTTCATTCGTTTTTTTACTTTTTTAGTATTATTGTGTATTTCCAGTGCTATTTCCAGAACAGGTGATTTAAAAAAAAAAAAAAAAAAGAAAGAAAATGTCAAATCTCAAAATGATCCGAGGAACATATAAGTTAAATAATGTCTTTTAATATTATTCTTATTCTTTTTTGCTATTTGTCACACTGAAGGACAATTTAATGTAAACACTGGAAAAATTACACTTTGAACAAACTTTAAATAAAAATGACTGTCATTTGTTACAGCTACATTTTTTTTTCCCCTCAAAGTATAATTCAACTTTGTTTCAAATGATAATATATATTTTAATTTAAATGAAAAATATTTATTGTAGTTAAGAAAAAACTTACATTCACGCAAAGTAAAAATACTGTTTCATATCGAGACACTAAATATATATTTTACCATAGATCAAAGTGTAATCATGCTTTGGACCAACCTAAACATGACTGTAATTAGTTACAGCTAAATTTATAAATTACCCTCAAATTATAGTTAAAAATTTAGTTCGTTGGAAAATATTTATTCTGGAAAAAAATATGGAAAAAATGGAAAAAAATACATTGATTCAAATGTTAAATATTGTTTTGATAGACGATGAATTTATTGAATTACTTTTGTTTGACTCAAAATCTAAATCCAAGTAAAGTTGTACTTTGGACTAAACCATAATAAATACATATAATGTTAGTCTATGCTATTGACAGTTATTTAATTTTTCAATAATTAGCTAAAGTATAGCTCCTTTCAGTATGGATTTAAATATGCAAAATGGTGAAGAAACACACATTAGAAATACACTACCGGTCAAATGTTTGGGGTCAGGGTTTTTCTTTTTTTTTAAGTTATTCTGTTCATCAAGGTGGCTTTTAGAAAATATTAAAATAAAATGTGTTGATTATTTATAAAACATTTAAATTTTCAATTTCAACATTAAGATTTCTTATTGTATGTCGTTTCAAATGAAATGATTACTCCAGTCAGTATTGCTTTTATTACTATTAACATTATTATTAATACTAATTATCATTATATTACTACTAACAATAATAATTAATTTTGGAGGGATTTCTGAAGGATCATGTGACACTGAAGACTGGAGTAATGAAGCTAAAAATTCATCCTTAATCACTGGAAAAATGATTCAATTAAATGATAAACTACTTTTGAACAGTTATTTTAGAGTGCAATAATATTTTTGACCATTTTACAGGTTTTACAAACCTTTTTCATGTGGTCACATGACAATAAATCTGCTGCTGTAAAGTAAAAATATTTCTTTGTGCAAAACTAATGTTTTCAAGTTTACCTAGGTGGTCCCTTTTTTTTTTTTTTTTTTTTTTGCTTAAAAGTAAATTGAATAAAACGTCATAATCAAAAACCATAATTTAACATGACTCCTAATCCAATATAAAATGTACTTTGAATGAAAGACACTGTAGATTAACTTTTTTCAGTAAATGTTAATAATAAATTGCACAATAATCATTAATTTTTTAGGAAAACATTATTAAACAGGACTCATTTTAATGTAAGGGGAAAAGCTATATAACACGTACTGTTTTGATACAGGAAAACACCCTTTTCATTTTAAATCTTTTTTTTAAAGTGTGTTCACTCTATATGAAACTATTTGTGTTTGCATTGACAGGATCAGGCAAAGGCCATGGACCACTTCGACGAGCGTCTGAAAAACCTCCAGAAACGCAGCTTGCAGGTTCTCCCTCTGAAGTACCGCAGGGAGACTCCTCAAAAACTGCTCCCTATCGAGGCTCTGTGTGAATACGATGCAGAAGAGGTACGCAGTCTGAGCTCTACATGCACACAGCTTATAGCTCCTCTAATACCAGTCAGTGAAACATCATGAGTAAGCGAAGAAGAAAAAAATGTTATGCTCTCTCTCTCTGTTCGGGTTTTGGATTCTCCCATTTAATGTATTTAAATCCTTAAGACGGCCTTCACCCAAACGATTCATCTCATATAAACCTCCAGAGACGTGCGCGGGGGGATTTTGTGCGGATTTCTCATTTATTTTGCAGCAGCAATATCAAGTTGAAACAGAGCTTACTTTGCTTATTTTGTTCAACACAGGGTTCAATTTTGCGAGGGGAGCGATACACCCTGCTCAGGAACAATGGGCCCAAATGGGACGTGAAGGACGCTAATGGACGCACCATGAGCGCTCCAGGAGTTTGCTTCATAATCCCTCCAACCGACCCTGAAGCTGTGGCCAGTGCTGACAAGTGGGTATTCCTCCATATCAGGATATACAGCTAGGAGAAATAAAGTGAACCCCTTTTGGACTAAAATTTTTTAGTTATGTGTTTGAATAAAATATAATAAGCTTTGTTTCATTCTGTAAACTACTGATGACATTGCTTCAGAATTAAAAAAATATATACAGTTGAAGTCAGAATTATTAAACCCCCTGAATAATTAGCTCCCCTGATTATTTTTTCCCCAATTTCAGTTTAATGGAGAGATTTTTTTAACACATGACTAAACATAACAGTTTTAATAACTCATTTCTGGTTTAAACATTTTTATTAATTTTCAGTTTTTCAAATGAGAAAGAACAACAATACAAACCCCTGACCCTTACCAATCCAACAGCAGGATAGCGCTCACATTAGCCAAAAATTAACAGATGTATGTATGTATATATATATATATATAATGTTTAAAAAATACCAACATATAACCATACATACCATATACAGCAAAATCAGATTATTTGAGATTTTTTTTCAAATAATCAATAAAAGGTTGCCACACCTTAAAAAATTTCCCCTCCGACCCCCTTAATGAAAACCCAATTTTTTCCAAATAAAGACAAGACATAGTTTCTCTAATTCAGTGGGAGGACGAGAATCCTTCCATTTTAGCAAAATAGCCCTTTGTGCTAATAAAGTTGAAAAAGCTATGATTTTACTCTTTGAAGAAGGCAACTATATTTCCTCTGAAGTAACCCCAAACAGTGCCACCTGCGAATCTGGTTCTAGCTTGTGCTGAAGAATCACAGATAACGAATCATATATTGACCTCCAGTCCACAGCATGTGAAATAAAGTGCCTTCAGCACAATTACATCTATTGCACTGAACTAGTACCAGGAAACATTTAGGCTAATTTAGTCTTAGAAATAAAAGCTCTGTGCACTACTTTAAGTTGAATGATAGAGTGCCGGGCACACATTGATGATAAGTGAATTTCATTAAGAATATCGTCCCACAGATCATTCGAAATCGAACCACAAAGGTCCTTTTCCCAAGCATAATGAATAACTAATTTCTAATAACTGATTTATTTTATATTTGCCATGATGACAGTAAATAATATTCAACTAGATATTTTTCAAGCTTAAAGTGACATTTAAAGACTTAACTAGGTTAATTAGGTTAACTAGGCAGGTTAGGGTAATAAGGCTTTCTCCAGAAAACAAAATATTATCAGACATACTGTGAAAATTTCCTTGCTCTGTTAAACATCATTTAGGAAATATATAAAAAAAAAAAAAAAATCAAAGGGGGCTAATAATGTCACTTTAAGCTGTATAGAAGTGTCTTGAAAAAATATATAGTAAAATAATATTTACTGTAATCATGGCAAAGATAAAATAAGTCGGTTATTAGAAATGAGTTATTAAAACTATCATGTTTAGAGATGTGTTGAAAAAATCTTCTCTCCGTTAAACTGAAATTGGGGGAAAAAATAAACAGGGGGGCCAATAATTCTGACTTCAACTGTACCTAATAAATCCACTAAATCTGCAGAATTGTCATGTCATTTTCACAATTTATACATTTCCAAGTGTACTTATCCTGAAATCATCTTTGCAGTCTGATAAACCAACATAAAAGCATCAAACAGAAAGTCGCCAGCAGCAAAACTGCACTACAGGCCCGACTGGCAGAGCTCAAGAAGGAGAGTACAGGAGGTAAAGGCTTGCCTCTTATGTTATAATAAACTATGCAGAGCTCTTCCAAAGAGAGAAAAACGCTAAATTTGCTTCTTCCTCCAGGCGCAGATAAGCAAGAGCAGCAGTGCCGTCAGCTGATGGCAGGACTGGATAAAGTTGTCAGCGATCTGGATAAGCAGGAGAAGGCCATTTACTCTCGTGTGCGCCCTCCACTGGAGCAGACGCGTCCTGTGCAAGACAGCGCTGATAGGCTGCAGGACATCAGGGTACAGATTATGACTGTACTGCATTAGACTTGTCACAAAGCTTGAATATTGATGCACTTTTGTTGGTTTGATTGCTTCTAGTTTTGTAAAGTCACTTTCATGTTTTCATGTAAATTTCATGTGCACGTCACGTTTGCACAATCACAATATAAAGTGTAAAATAAGATAAATTCTGGGTTGTTAGATGCAAATTTACAAATCATTGAAAAAAGCTTGAATCATACTAGATGTTAACTCACAATTGTGTGGGGTTAAAAAGCTGAATTGAAAACATGTGTCAGAGAAGAGATTTCTGAGTTAAGATTTTACCCTTTTTATTGGAATTATAATCATTTTTCTTAGAATGTTTTTTCTCTGACAATGCTGCATTTTTAACTTGGTTTTAAAAAGTTAGCATCACACATTTTGTTGATATGTGAGGAAAAAACATTCACAGTTGCCAGATCTACAATATTTTATGCTGTCACAGAAATGGGCATCAACATATTATTGGGCCGTCATACACAAATGCTAGATATAAATGTGTGAAAGCAAACAAACGTCTGCAATATAAACATAAAAGCATTGCTTCAGATCCTGTATTTCTTACTCTAGTGTTTTCTTCACAGGACATTACTTCTGCTGTCAATAAGATAGAGCCAGAAAAGTCTGCAAAAGTAAAGGAGGCTGAGGCTTTCCTTAAATCCTCCCCGAAATGCGCAAGTGCCCCACAGCTCTACTCCAAGGTGGATGATACTAACAAGAAATACAACAAAGTTGATTTGCTGCTGAAATGTTCAACTGACAAGTGAGCATACCCCCTTTCATTACAGAGTCATGAATGCCACACATGATATATCAGGGTCTAAATCAGCTTATTCCTAAAGCTATCATTATTAAACAGCCTTAAAAACACATATTTAAAGATTTACATTTTTCAATTTGCAAATATAAACCTTTATGTTCCTTTCTATACCGATTTATACACCAAAGCATGAATTGTGTACCAAATCCTGCTTTGTTTTGTAGACTGCAGAACTCCTATCAGCTGGAGAACTCACTGCAGAATGGCAAAACTCTGCTGTCCACTTATGAAAACAAACTGGCAAGAGAAGAGACTGCCCCATCTGACCCCGCTTCAATAGAGAAGACCCAGCGCGAGTTGGCGGTAAGCATTGTAATCAATGATACTTCTTTCTCTTGATCTATTTTTTCCAAACAGATTCATGATGCACTGGTGTTTGCTGTGCTCTTGTCTCTAGGACATCGCGTCTGAGCTGAGAAGCAAAAGATCTATCATCACACAGACTGAGCAGAACCTGAGAGACGCTAAAACCAGCTGCAGTAACATGACCAATAAAGTGCAAGAGCACTGTCCTGATATCGAGAGGCAAGAGGCGGAGGTTCAGAAAATGACCAAACGCTTTGACAACCTGAACCGACAGACAGAAGCAAGGTGAGCTCATTGGTTAATCCGGCCCTGGACACAACTGATATAAGCAAACAGGTTGTTGAAGGTAGGAAGGAGAGTGTCTAAGCATGGTTAGAAGAAACAATGTGAGATGTTGGGCAGTTTATGAACTTGTACCACCCTCCATACTATACTTTCCTGACTCCGATTTAGTAGTTTTATATAAAGTGTATGATGGACAAACGTACACCAGAGTAGATCTGCTGCAAGTCATGGATTTAGCATGTAGTGATATAGATGAGGAACCATGTCAGGGCTGGATATGGCACACAAGAGGCTTCTTCCCCCATAGCTTCAGGACAGACCATATTGGATTACAAAGTGTTCTGGTCTGACTCGGCCCAAAGAAAAGAAACAAATTGATTTATGTTTCCACCTTTGATTTTTGTCCCTTTTAGTACTGTATACAGAAATACAGTGCATTGTAGGCTGTATACTATACAATAAACAAATTGTATGGCCCCGAACATTGAGATTAAAATGTAGTTCTCTTTAAGAACTATGTTTTAAATAATGGGTTTTCTGTATTGTGTTGTATTGTCCTCTGACTACTTGATAGTGTATATCATTTTGATCACTCTGTTTATTAATTGAGAGAAGTGCTTGATTTTGAACACAGGTAAAACTGTTTTGAAGCAAAAGATTCATTTTGCAAGAGAAGGTCAGAGGTTTTGTTAATAGTGCTTGAGGATGAGATTTTGTGTTTAATGGTGTAAGTATATTGAGCAAGGGTTCAGAAATTGTTTTAGAAATCGAGAAAAACTGCCATTACTCACCCTCATGTTGTTTCAAACTCCTGAGATTTTCATTGATCTTCAGAACACAAAATAATCAGAGAGCTCCCTCATCCTTCATAGACAGCAAGGTCTCTGACTCCCGATTCAAAGTTCGGAAAGGTACCAAAAACTTCCTCAAAGCAGTCCTAATGCCTTCAGTGGTTTAAACAGAATATTGTCGAGCTACAAGAATACTTTCTCTCCTCATTGTCAGTATATTATGTGCATTCATGTGCACTCATGTATGGACCCCATGGGTGACTTTCTCTGCTGGAAACAAAACAAGGGAGCATCTGAATACATCAGAGCTCAAGACATGAATGTGCACCTTATACTGACACTGAAGAGAAGAAACTGATGAATAAAGTTGTTGTTTTTTCTTTTATGTGTGCACAAAAGTATTCTCATAGCTTAATAATATTGCAATTGAACCACTGAAGTCTGTTTTGAGGATGTTTGAGGGAAGCTTGCTGTCTATGGAGGATTTAGATTTCATCTAAAATTTCTTAATTTGTGTTCTGATAATGAATGAAGATCTCGGGATTGAAACAACATGAGAGTGAGTAGTTACATGAGGTGATTATATAACATAATTTTAATTTTGGGGTGAACTAACACTTTTATGTCATGGTGACTCTTTATTATAATTAAATATAGTTCATTAATCATTATTTTTTCAATATATAAATTTACTATTGTTACTGTTAATTTATGGTTGGTCCAAAAACTTAATTTTGTGTTGATCTTGAACAAAACAACTACATAAAAACATACCATTACCTAAATTATTTAGTAAGATACAGTATAGATATGAAACTGTTGTTTATTGTTAGTTAAGCATATTGCAACAAATGGAAACAATCTAACCTGATTGTAAAGTGTTACCATGCTTATTTTACATAAAAATATAATTATTTTTGTCAATTATATCCTAAATTGTTTCATAGATTTTACTTTTAATTATTTTAAATCCATTTTTCAGATCACAGCATCTGCAAAGAGCTAAAACAGCCTACTCCAACTACCACAATGACTATGAAAACCTCAATAGCTGGCTTTCCCGGATACCAAACTATGAGCCACGTGAAACTGATGACGTTAGACAGATTGACTCAAAACTGAAAAATCAAAGAGTGAGTCTTGAGTTTTTCCTGCCACTACTGACTTCATTATGAAATCATGATTTATATTTATTAACCAAAACTATGTATTAAATTGACAGAATCTGCTCTCTGACATCGCGAGGAAGGAATCAGACCTAAACAATGTGTCAAGAAATGCGCAGCTTTATCAGCAAGCAGTAAAGGTATGAAAAAATCACAATATAGTACTTGCAGAGCATTATTCTACAAACTTGTTTATGCAAAGCCACATGGACGCCATTGTGTTTTGGCTTTCAGGACTATGAAAATGAAGCAGAGCGGTTTAAATCCATCCTCGACCTTGAAGACGGCTTGGTTCCCCAGACATACAAAAGGAGCAGACTTGAATCTCCTGCCATGAAAGTGAATAGAGAGGTGAGCATTTTTGCATCTAGCATACTTTGTAAACCGTCACATTGAGGAAATAATTATACCCTTTTTAGCCTTTTAAGCTACTTAATCCTATGTTTTCCTAGAAAATTTAAATATTCAAATGATGTCATTAGTAATCCCTTGAAAAAAAAACAATAATTAATTTATACACTTTGCATGAAAAGTATGTTTTAGGGTAAGTCACAATTTTGTAAATTGAATTAACATATCTCTGCAGTTGTCAACAGAATCAGTCTAGGCTTTAGCACGTTCTAGGATTGTTACTGTACTTACAAACTCTTATTTTACACTTGTAAGCCTACTGGGCACAAGACAAAAAATGTTTTTTACAGGAATGGTTACTTTTCGTAGCATTAATTGTAACAATAAACCTTTAATTTAGAGCAGTATTCACTTTAATAATCATTGCGATTGTCACTGTAATTTGTCACAGAAACTTTTCAGTGCACCCTCTATGTGTGTAAGCAAATGTACAGTATACTTAAATGCATTTTATTATCCAATGGTCACTACTGTTACCATCACTGTTTTTACTTATTCTATGACCACCACACTCAATACAAAAACACTTCATTTTAAGATCTTTATTATATATTTATTTATATTTAAGCAAACTTTATTAACCTTTTGATTCTCTGGTGTAAACGGAAGTTAAACTGCTCCAGTCGCATGAAAATGTGCATTAACCATGTGACACTTCACAAATTTGATTGAGATATTTTTTTCGTACGTGCAGGAAATGCTCAAGTCAGTACTATTTTTGAAGCTTTTTAGATTAGAAGGTCTCTTTACAGTCACTGAAACATTATTGTTGTGTTCTGAAGGAATCTGCAATTGAGGCAAAATTCACCGAAGTAAATGCTGTGAACAAGCAGAGACTGCAGAACCTAGAATTTGCCCAAAGCCTTCTTAACCAGGTAAAACATGTTATTGTTCTGTATTATGTATATTCCAAACCATAGAGTAGTCTAAGGATTGCTCATTTACTTTAACGCATGCGATATTTTATAATTCTTTACAGCAACCAGAGGTTACAATAGTCAGGCAAGATGTCCAAACTGTGAGATCGTCTGCCCCAGGAGAAGAGCCCTGGAGAATCAAAAATCAGCTCCAGGAAGAAATTCAGCGCAGAGACCAACTAGAAAGGGAAATTCAAAGTGTCCAAAGTGACATCTATTTCCTGGAGGGCCAGAAACCACAGGATACAATTGTCAAGAAAGAACTTGTCAAGAAGGTGCCGGACCCTCAACTGGATGAGGAGTACCACAGAGTTCAGCAGAAGCTCCTGGATGAAAGCAGGACCACTCGGATCTTAGAGAGTGAACTGGACACCCTCCGTGTGAAGCTGCGTGGGATTGAGACCGAAATGAAAGAAGGAGCTCAACAGTACACAGTTAAAGAGGTGCTCCGCATTGAGAGGGACAGGGGACAGGAGGAAGAACTCAGGAGACTACGAGAAGAGCTGGAGGAGGTCAAGCGGATGAAGATGGTTAGAGAGAATGAAATCATTCAGATTAGAAAGCAAGTGACTATTCTTGCAGAGGAGAAGAGCAGGGAGCAGGAAATCATCAAAGAGGAGGAAGTCATAAAGGTTCAAAATGACCCTCAGCTGGAGAGTGAGTACAGAGTATTGCTTGAAAGAAAGCAAAAAGACATAGAAACCCGTAAGGAGCTTGAAGACGAGCTTCGATTCCTGCAGGAAAGACTAAGACGTCTTGAAAAGGAAAAGGCAATGGCTGAGGAAAAGATCTCCATCAAGGAAGTCCTGAAGGTTGAGAAGGATATTGCTTTGGAGAGAGAGGTAGAGAACCTGAGGAGACAATACGAAGATGAAAAAACAAGACGCAGTGCTGCGCTAAGAGAGAGAACAGACCTCCAGCGCAAGATCACCAGCCTGGAGGAAGAGAAGTCAAAGGTCATTATCCAGGAGAAGGTGCGTGAGATTGTCCGACCTGATCCAAAGGCAGAAACAGAGGTGGCGAATCTTCGACTTGACCTGGTGGAGCAGCAGAGAAGGTGCAGAGATTCAGAGCTTCAGCTGAGGTCCCTTCAGGATGAATTGACAATGCTGAGAAACAGAGGTCCACAGATTGAATACAAAGAGATCATCAAAGAGGTCATCAAATACAAGATTGACCCACAAACAGAAAGAGAGCTGGAGCAACTCAGAAATGAAATTGTGGACAAAACCCACCAAACAGAGAGGTTCGAAATGGAGATACTCCAACTCAAAGACGAGATTCAAAGATGGAAAGACACCAAGCCTCAGATTCAGACCAAAGAGGTTGTGAATGAAATCCTGCAATACAGAGAAGATCCTAAAACCAAGGAGGAGATCGAAAGCCTCAAGCGGAAACTGGCTGAGGAACAGAGGAAACGTTTGGAGCTGGAAAATGAAAGGGCCCTCAGTGAAGAAAAGATCAGGATCAAGAAGATCGACTTGTCACAGGTGAGGGAGAAACTTGTCCAGCAGGAAGTCGTGAAGATGGAGCTGGATCCACTCTTGAAGTCTGAATGTGACACCTTTTCTCTAAATATCAGCAATGAGCAGAAACAGAGAGAGATCTTGAAAGAAGAGCTGATCAGGCTCCAGCGTCAAAAAACTGAACTGGATGTTCAGCTTGAGGAACTGGAGCGTGAACGTAGAGCCCGCAGGGATGCGGAGCTCGAAATTCAGAGGTTGAGAGTGCGGCTTAATGAACTTGAGATCAGGGACAAGGAAAACAGAGAAAAGGTGACAGTAAAGCAAAAGGTTGTCCTTCAGCAGGACCCTCAACAAGAAAAAGAGCACTCTATCCTGCGCCTTCAGGTTGAAGAGGAGAGGCACAAGCGCATGCTCTTGGAGAAAGAGTTCAACGCCTTGTTGCAACAGCAGGAGATACTTGAGAGAACAGAAGTGCGTGAGAAAGTTGTGCGAACTGAAAAAATCCAAGTTGAGCGAGATCCAGATGCTGAGATGGATATTATCAGGCTAAAGAAAAGCCTTGAAGAAGAGGAAAGACGACGTCGTGAGCTGGACCAAGAGATTGTCACCCTAAACACAAAGCTTTCAGAAATGGAATTCACCAATACGAAATCATCAAAAGAACTCGACTACATTCGTGACGAAAGCAACAGGTTACAGCAGGAGAACCAGCGCCTACAAAACGAATTACGGAAGCTTCAATCTGAAATCGAAATCACAACAACAGAAACCAGACACATCACTGAGTCATCTCCGGTTGAGAGTAGCAGGAACTTGGAAATTCGAATGGAATCCTTGCAACGGGAACTTGCCGAGCTTAGACGCATCCGAATGGAGAAGGACGATGAAATCGAAAAGCTTCAGAAGAGTCTGGCTGCAATGCGAGTGAAGAGGGAACAGCGAGAAAGTCACCTCCGCCGTTCAATCGTCGTCATTGATCCAGACACCGGAAAGGAGATGAAGCCCGAGGAGGCTTACAAGCTGGGCCTAATCGAATGGAAAATGTTTGTCAACCTTCAAAGTCAAGAGTGCGATTGGGAGGAGATCACCGTCAAGGGTCCAAGTGGCGAGTCCTCCGTTCTTCACGACAGAAAATCAGGCAAGAAGTTTTCCATTGAAGATGCTCTGAAGGCAGGAAACATCACAAACCGTCAACTGCAACAGTACCAGAACAAAGAAATCAGCATCCAAGAGTTTGGCGTCATGCTGTCAGGCAGAGGCAAATGAATCCATTAATTAGACAAATACAACCAATTTTATATTCTGTTTACTAGTATTAAGATCTAGAGTAAACATGCAGTTTGCAGTCCCAAATTGCATTTTTTTATTCCCTTTCTCAATACAGTATGTATTTATTTTCAAATGCATTCTTATACCAATGCAAGAAGGTGTTTCTTTGGTTATGGTGCTGAATTTGGGTTAATGTTTCTAACGCTATTCCTGAAATGTTTTCATTGGAGTGTAGCAGATGAGACACTATGATCATATTTTACTGAAATCGAGTTCAGTTTTACTGTAATCTGATCTAAAATATGCATACAAGTGTGTGCCTTAATGATAACGTAAGGACCCTATCTGTCTCTTTTCATGCACTTTTTTTTTCAGCTGTGTCAGATTAATCTGTTCTCCTTTCATGTTTGATTTGAGATTAAAAATGAAATATGGATAAACCTGAGTGCTGTGTTCTTTCCCTTCGTCTTTATCATAAAGCAGTAAAAGCTCTTTTTGCAATCATTTTTAGTTCACAAAATCTACTTGAGTCTTTCATCGACTTTTTCACAACATTTACGCTCATCAAAATATTGAAAATATGTTTAATATATTAAAATTACTTTTGGATAGATTGATTGTTTCATCTTTCATAAGTAAATGTAAAATAAGAGCATGAGGCTGAGGGTGTGACCCATAGACCGCATAATAGACCTCACCACTTGACCTGTGAGTGGATTATGATGTCAATTTGTAACTTCAAATTAGTTTTAATCAGATGCTTGTATCCTAGAACTTATCTTCAGAAATATCTATCTGAGCAGGTTCATGTGGTATTTATTATTAATATATTATTATATATATATTAATATATAATATAATTAATATATAATTATATATTAATATATAATATAATTATATATAATATAATTAATATATATTATTATATGTGTGTGTATATATATATATATATATATATATATATATATATATATATATATATATATATATATATATAATATTTTCTATGTATGCGGTGTGCATTGAGGGAATTTATTACGCATAATAATCACCTTCCACACATATAACATCATTTCAAAGTTAAAAAGTTGGTATCAGGTCTGTAGCCAGGGTGCAAGGGTTGGTTCTTTTATTTCTCAAAAAGTGGACTAAAAAGTTATTCACCTTATTTTCTATCTAATTATGAGGTTAATACTGCATTTTAAAGATTAGCACTATTTTTGCTGGATTAGTTTGTCAAACGGACATCGTAACTAGTTTTTGATGTACCCAAAGCATTTCCTAAAGATTTAGAATAAATAAATATGAGAACGATATTTATTTTTAAAATACAAAAAAAAATTAAATCTGTTAATTTTTTTACATTTATTAGGCGAATAACGAACCAGCTGGCATATTCAATTTTACTCTGCTGAGTGTGGCACGGTGTGACTTCAGAATGGCACGCCATGCCAAATTCGGTGTCCCAAATTATGTAACTTACAGCAAACACAGAATTCCACTTAATCTTAAAACCTTTTTTGATTTTTTTAAATTTTTTTTTTTACAATTTACTATGGAATAGCAGTCGAAATAGGGCAAATAAGCCCATGTATGGGACAAAACATCTGGACCTTTTTCAGAGAGGGTGGGTCTTTCGAACCACCCGAACCCACCCCGCGCTGCGGGCCTGTGGATACCACATAAACAATTAAAATATAGTCTTGGTTTTATATATAAAACAACTTTTAATATAAAATAAAAAGAGTTTCATTTCAATATAACGCATTGAGTTTTCGTACTTTTTAAAAATAGTACGCTTCTAAATATTGTTGTCGTAAATTAATTTTTTACTCGGAAATCGCTTCCACTCTAATTTCTACGACCTTATTTTAAAAAATAAAACTATGCATTAAAAAGCTGGCCTGTTTGGTCAACTCGACAAGTGACGAGCCAACTCGCCTCATACATTGATATAAATGAAAAACTCGGCCTACTTTGATCGCGTCGCGTCGTCGTTAGCTTTCGCTCGCTCGCCCGCCCGCAGGGGTAGATGGGTGTAGTGGGTGTGTTCATTCCCTGCATTCAGTGCGACGTTTCTCACTAACAGTTTAAGATGGCGACCGTGCATCTCAGGATCGGGGATCTGGTTTGGTAAGATCACAAACTGAACTTTTCACGCTTATTTTTCAAGTCCGGTTTAAATAATGTTTTGTGCACGTGGAAGACAGATTGTAGTGGCTGCAATAAAGTGTTTTGGCAAACACCGAGCGTATGGCCCAGTTTATGTGTCGTCAAGCCACACTGAGCACTAGGCTTGAGTGAGCTTAGCATACAAGCTAACTGTTACTTTGCCTGTATTTCCAGAGTTAAGCACGTGATGTTGCCGTGTTTAAAGCTATATAATGTGTTAATTTTACGTTTAAACGTTTGTCTACATGAATACTGAATATATTAAAGAATGCGTGTTGTTATGAGGGCTGTTCGCTTATGGGGTCGAAACGGGGTTACGCTACACACTACAGCTAGCTTGAATCGTGGAACGAGAGCTTTTAACAGCCCCTAAATCACTAATAACACTCATTTTTACTTTCATTGTGTATTATAGGGGTAAGCTTGGACGCTATCCACCTTGGCCAGGAAAGGTAAGATCTGTTTATGTTAAACTATTGAGTTGAACTTGTGTTGTTTATCCTGGGGTCAGGGCGAAGTCACCGGCTGTTTAAAATGTAACTGTTAGTAGACCGGCTATCTAAGTCAGCAAGTGTTGTTGTTAAATAAACCAAAACAAATGTTCTTTAAAATACGAGTTTTTAATATGTCTGGAAACGTTCTCTTTGTATGTAGTTCTGAAATGCAGCTATATAAAATGTTAGACTTATTATGGATAATGGTCTTTTAATTAACTGTGACACTATATATTTGTACAGGTCGTCAGTCCTCCGAAGGATCTGAAGAAGCCGAGAGGCAAAAAATGTTTCTTCGTCAAGTTTTTTGGAACTGAAGATCAGTGAGTGATTGTTTACCAGCACCCTTGTTTGCTGATGTTTGAGAGGTTAATCTGGGCAGATGTTGACTTTAATATGCTCTGTCCTTTTAGTGCCTGGATAAAGGTAGAGCAGCTGAAGCCTTACCACCCCCACAAAGAGGAGATGATCAAGATAAACAAAGGCAAGCGCTTCCAACAGGCTGTTGATGCGGTTGAGGAGTATCTAAAGAAGGCCAAGGGGAAAGATCAGGTTAGCATGTACCCTAAATGTGGCACGTTTGTATCTGGTGTTAATACCGAAGAACAAATGTCAATACAGCATTAAATAGGGTCTAAAAAACTTTTGAGCGTGAGCAGAGCTACTCGAAACACATTCGATTTTATGGCCCATTTTCACTGAGTGGTACAGTAGTGTTTCTACTGCTAAGTGTACCAATGGTACTCTTGGTGGGAGTGATGTACAACAAAGTTTCAGTCAACGTCATTCTCTCTTGAGAAAATGTCAAAGTAAAGCTGTACGGGTTTTTCACACTATTTGAGAAGCACTTCTCGCAAAACAGATGCTTTAAACACAAATACTTGTATATAAATGTTCATTAATACCTTTTTATGAACATGATTTGATTATAACTGCAGATCAATGATGTGAAAAAGCCTACTGTAACGTCTGTGATTTATATAAATAAATAAATGCAACGTATATGAACACATACATACACATATATTGGATGTCAGAAGCGCTTCAATAATCATCAGCTCAAGAAGTTTATTTCAAATATAGATTCAAATATAGAACGCAAAATCGCTTGTGCTTTAGATGTGCTCATAAAAAAAAAAACTTTAGGGCACAGGGTAGAATCTGTTATTCTTTGCTTTGTGGCTGGTCATCAAAAAGACAAGGTTTGTTTGAGCTCGGCTCGACCATGGCTCGTTATTATATGTATATATCATTATGGTGTAATGTCTCAGCTGTGTATTTAAAACATGGCGGTTCCTTTGTTTTATTCTGGCTTGTTGCATGAGCGATTGACATCTCTGTAAACCAATAGTGATCAGCTGCGTGTCTAGCTCTGCTTTTTGGTACTCTTTTGCCGTGCTATGTACCCTTTGCAGAGGGTACCATCCAAAAAGTCGTACGATATGGTTTCAATAGACAAAGTCTTTTAAGCATAGTTATTTGGACATTTTTAAAAAGGTACCACCAGGAAAAAAAATTAATTATTTATTGCAAATTGACCTGAATAATCATATTTAACCTTGAATATATTTTTTTGTGTGAATTGTATCTATTTTTATTTTATATATTTGTTTAAGTCATTTTATTGTAATGCAAATTTGTTTTTGTCATGTAATTTTTATGTATATCCATTAAGCTACGAAATAGCCATTAGTTGCTGATGTGGAAATAAAAATTTAATAAATGTACGATACGGTTTGCTTTTAAGTACCTTTTGACCATGGAAGCGGCAATAAGTGTACCAAACTGTACCATACCACTCAGTGGAAATGGGCCATTAAGCACTCGTGTTGTCATGTGTTTAAACAAACTCCAAATTCAATATACTGAGCAGGCGTGATCATAATTGGATATGCTGTCAGAAAGCACAGCAAACACTGTATCCACACTTTACTGTGTTGAACCAAAATAGATCATGGTTTAGATCATAATTATCATCCACAACCTTTTCATTTGCTTGCTTTCTTGCTCAAAAGCACAATGACTGCATCATCAAAAGTGATGTAAAATATACAGAAACTAGAAAGAAGGGTCTATAAAATCTGTGCACAAGTGTTCATAAGAGTTTTAAATTCATGTAAATAACTGGAGGAAATGGTAATGCCTCTCAGCTGACCACATGTAATCTCTATAAAATTCATACTAGCATGGGGTAGAAAAAAAGTGTTTTATTCAGGTCTTTAAACCACCGATTCTGTTCAGTGATTTGTGGTTGTTCAAACATGTAAAGTAGCATGAGTGTCAGTGCCACAGAAGCAGTCAGGGTGAGTGCATTAAAAGTGGATAAGCTCAAATTCTGTACCACATTTTCACCTGTGTTTCCTGTTTTTAGTGCCATCATTAGTGACCAGATTGGCAAACATATTATGTACCAGGCATTACCTATTTGAACTGGCTGATAAGCTGTTTAAGGGGTTGTTTACTAAAATTAATTTTTGTCATTATTTATTCACCCTCATGGTATTACAAACATGCATGACTTGTTCTTAATAGCCATCAAAGCTGTTTAAAAACTGATTTTCTGCAGATGAAAAAGTTATAAAGACATTACAGATGGTTTCAGGATATAGTCAGTTGAAAGGCATCGCTTTACTGCACCTGATGGTTATGTCCATTTAAAATGCGTCTCCTGACATTATTTGTCTGATTTCAAGGATTGAATCTGCATCATGTTACAACTGTTTTTCAAACATGACTCAGTTCACTTGGCATTTACTGTCATATTTAAGACCAAACCT